GCAGGGTTCCAGTTAAATGCAGAGCTGGAGATTGTTTCAAATGTACTGACCCCTGGCTTGCTCCTGGCTGGGTTTGTGAGGAGTCATCCTGCCCGTTGGTGTGACCTGGCTGCCTCCAAGGGGTGTGGGCAGTGCTGCTGTCTCCAAGGATTTGAAAAAATTGCTGCTAGCTTTTCTCTTTCAAAGAGTTGCAACAGAAATTGGGGAATTTTATTTTTACTGCCTCTTTTTTTTTTTTTTTCCACTTTGTGGGGTTCATGAAGAGTCTGTTCAGGTTTTTTGCAGCCAGCTCAAGAGATTAACAGCGTAGTGAGTTTGAAATGGGGCCCAGACATTCTTAGCTCAGCACACCTCTTCTATTTGGTCTTTTAAGAAGATAGATAGGGGAAATAAAATGGCCATGGGAGTTGATAGCACTAAGCCCTGGGCAAAACTCCAGCCTTGAAGCAGGGACCAGGTCTTGCTTAAGCTGTGATTACAGAGGGCTTTAGCTCCAAGCATGAAGAAAGCTGCTCTGGCATGGGAAGTCTGTCCAACCAAAACTGCACGGGGAGATGCTGCCCACACCTACAGCTGCTCTCCCGCAGCAGCTGTGCTACAGCTTAATCCACACAACCTTGAGGATGGAGCAAATGCACTCAAGTATCTGGGAAGCACCTCCCTGCAGAGCTGGAGTTACATGGCTGCTGTGGCCTCTGTGCAGCACATCAATCAAGAAATCAAAGCCAGAATATGGAAAATGTGGGGAGTCAGCTGTGTGCTCAGCACCTGCTGAGCTGCTGCCTGGAATGGCACATGGGCTGGGGCTGGGCTGCTCAGAAACCAGCTGTGGGTGCTGGGACTCAGCCCCGATTCCCAGCTGATGGGATTTAAGGGGCTCCCAGACCAGCTGGGGTGGGGGTTACCCAGCTGGGGCCAAGGGCATGGGGAACCTTCCCCTGAACTTGTGGGGTACTGCTGCTCATGCTGGAAGGGAGCAGAGTGTTTCTGTTCTGCTTGTTGAACCAGGTTGTCTGGTCCCTTTTGTTCACAAGGGAAAGGACCTTTCACTGCACATTGCTGAAGGTGCACATGAGCTTGTAGAAAGAGCCTGGCAGGGGTGCAGGGCCATGTCCCAGTACCCAGGGCTTGCTCAGCATGGAGGGCAGGCTGCTGTGTGCACCCCTTTCTGCACTGACACCCATCAGAGTATGTAAGTGCACCCCATACCCTTCCCAGGGCACCCTGTCAGGCTGCAAGGCTCACCCTGAGCCCTGGGGAAACCTGCTGGGTGCCAGCACCCAGTGCACACGGCTGAACCCAGACTGGGGGGCAGCTCTGTCTGTCTTAGAGCAAAAAGCTCTCCACGGGGCACTTCAGGAGGATGCTGCTCTTCTCTGGCACCAAGGTGAGCCAGTGATGTGCCATCAGGGCTGGATGTGTCAAGGGAAAGGTGGGGAGGGTACTGGGAGGTGATGGGACACAGACAGACTTTCACCTCAACTGCAGGGCACTCGTCCTGGGAGGTGACTGCAGAGGGGACAAAACCAAATGGAAATCAATCGTGGCCTCCAAAGGGCAGCACACGAACCTGCAAAGTTGGACATAATGTCCTCTGTTTGTCACTAAAGGTGGTTTTGCCAAAGAGGCAGGTCCTCTCCTGGCTGAGGCAGATGGAGGCAGCAGGAGGGACTGGAGGGACAGTCCCCAAGGTGAGAGCAGCCACGTTGTGTCTATTTACCCTACGGGGGACAAGTGGAAGTGTGAAAAGTCCCTCCTTGCAGAGGGCAAAGGATAACCCCCCTCCTTATCCCCAGGGAAAGGGCAAAGAGCCTGGGGTTTATTTGCAGCAGGAGAGATTTATGAGACTTTCAAACAGCTACTGGTGGGGATGGTTTTCCCTTGGCCCCTGGGCTGGAAGGACCCACGTGTCCCACACTGCAGCAGAAATCACCCAGGGCTGGTTTCATGGACACTTCAAGCTGAACCAAGCACAGGATCCCCCAGAAAGGGGTGTCTGACAGCACAGACACTGCTGGTATGGTATATCTGGGGGGGCTGGATCAGGGAATGGATCTAGCTGGAAATCAGGTCAAGTTGGGAAGCTCTGGGGAGAAGTGAGACCACAGGAGCAGGGCTGTGCTCAGGACAGAGGCACTGACCAGTGGGTCATGGCAAGCAGATCCTGATCCCTG